TAAGTATATTCTGCAGGGTTTTGAAATTATAAATCATTTTCACTGGTTAATTTACATATGCAAACTGATTCACTAGAATGAACCAGACTTTCCAGAGAAAACACCGTTTAAGATTGTGTGCAATACCTTAGTCTCCTGTAAAGCTATGGCACAATTCATTCTGACATTAAAAGCAAATCATGGTTTTCATTGTAATAGTTGTTGGACAAAGTAGCTTGCTACTGAAAAACTAGCGTTGTTATTATGCTACTGAAAAATGTAGTTAAGGAAGTTAAAGCTTTGGCTTCTCTATCACCACCTGTGGTTAAAGCATAATTGCAACTTATTTGCACTGTTTTATGGCAGGTCTGTCACTCCACTTCAAGACCCACTGCCATCAATAAGAAAGATGATAAATGTGTTGTTTGAGCAAGTAAGTAGCATACTGCATTTCATGCCATAGTAGCCAGGCCTTCTATTCTTTACCTTAGGACATACAAGGACAAATGATGTAAATCTGAAATGTCCTGCCAAATCTGACTGAAAATATCATAATGAAGCACTGATTGTTTATATATTTGCTCAATAATAAAATTGTATGCATTATTAGCCCAAAACTCAAACATTACCACCACAGCTCTTACAGGTCTATACAAGTGACAGGTAAAAGTAGAATACTTTCAATAAAAGGTCCAACATGTTATGAATACTATTAGCTTTAAGTTTAGCTTACCTGTCCAGAAGAAATTGTGCAAGTATGTAATATCAATTGAAACCCAAACATTACATAAAATTCCTCCATCTTGTAAAAACACTGCCAGTGTTTACCCTTGATTTACCCCATTGTCTTTCTCTGTGCATTTTGGCAAGTCTTCAAATTTTGCTTGTGCTTCTGTAATGGAATCTGAGTTTCTTTTTCCACACCAGTTAAACACACTCGGGCTCAGCCAGCTAATTAGCCCCTCCCCAAACTCTCGCTATTGGCTGCGCAGAGGTATGCAAATACATAGTTTGACAGAGAGGTAGGACATCCTATAGGATCAAATGCATTGATTGGACAAACATTTCAGTCCTGAGGCTTCCACAGTAGATATATTTTATATTTTGACCACTTTAATTATTGATTGATTTCAGCCAGTAAAAAAAATAAGAATAATAATAAATATAGATCTCTTGAAAATAAATTTAATCCTTAAGCTTGTGGTTTCAACCAAAAATAAAAAAAAAAGTTGGTAATTGTTATAGGTGCTAGGGTATGCGTACAATGTGTGTTATATAAAATTGATCATCATTCATACTGTGCGCGCGCAGACTGATTTTTTTTTTTAAACTGTTCATACTCATCTCATGTTTACGTCTTAAATTTAATTTGCACTAATAAGGCAGTTTAGAAGGTGGCAACACTCGCCTAAACTGATGTTCATAGTTAAAAAAAAGAAAGGAACAGTACACTACTGCAAAAACGTCTCAGGTTATGTATGTAACCATGGTTCCCTGAGAAGGGAACGAGACACTGTGTCTACCATAGCCATGGAAGTTGCCCTTAGGACGCCTTGACGGCTGTCACTAGAGGTCGCTTTGGGGAACGCCTTTAGCGTGACCAGTGTCTGAAGCATACATCTAAACACGACAATAACATTGGCCGGCGACAGCCTATGATGTCATTACCCAGCGTGATCACAGTATAAAAGGGCGCCGGGAGAACACGTCAACCGCTTCTTCGTCTGAAGCTTGCGTCCAAAGCATGTCAAGGAAACTAGAGGACACAGTGTCTCGTTCCCTTCTCAGGGAACCATGGTTACATATACGTAACCTGAGACGTTCCCTTCTGAAGGAACTTCGAACTGCGTCCTCTAGAGGTCGCTTTGAGGAACGGTATACCCATGCCACCATGCTGAGGGGAGTGCATGCCAGAAACCACGGCGAGCACTGAGTACAAACTCTACCATTGCCATGGGAGTTGCCCCTAGGATGCCTTGACGGCTGTCAGTGACATTATCCCCTCTGGCCAAGGGCCTGAGCTGCATACCCTAAACAACTTACCTGTTAAGGGCTGGCCTGGGAAGCCCGAGCCTAGGGCAGAGCTCAAAGGCTTGGAATAAAAAGAAGAGATTCCCTTGAGGGGATACGGCCAGGTGTCTAAAAACCAAACCACACCCTATCCTGTGACCCAGGGGGCTACCGCCAGTTCTGAATGAGCTTACTTAAAGTATCAACACCCTGCTCAGAAAAGTATCAACAGGGATACATAAGTTGAGTGGAGCCCAAGGTGAAAACCGGGGCCTAAACCAACTCAAAGAAAGGGAACAAGGCTGACAGTGCACAACCCTTACCATTCAGGATTTTAGAAAGTGCGCAGAAAGCTTAGCGTGCACACTTACCACAATGTGGATTTAGAAAGTGCACAGAAGCTCAGCGTGTGCACTTACCAAAGCATGGATTTAGAAACACTGTTACTAAGGGGTAACTGAAGCTGTCTCCTCAGGGAGCACGTCACGAAGCATTATACTCCGAAAAATGCTCAACCTGAATGGAGGACCCGTGAGTCCTGAGGTCGCAGCGTAATACTGGGGACCTGACGGCTAAGGAGGCTCCCGCAGAAGCCCAGCAACTTGGCTGCGTGATCCAGTAGGCATGAAGTCGAAGATGTAGGGCTAACATCCAGCCTGGATCCAGGACCGACGGGTGAGAACATCACCACTATCGGTCAACAGCGAGGGGGTCTGACTTCAGCAGGGGAGGTGCTCACCCTAAAACAAAGTCAGAAAAACGTAACAGGTCCAAGTAGCGCTGAGGAGAAAACTAGTTAGTGAATTCAAATGAACTAACAATAGAGTTGATGAAATGGATCATACTCACCAACCACGGCTCCCGCGCATGACTCAAGCTCATGGATTTAATCTGAAGGTGAAGTCTGAAGAGCGCTTGGGTCTGTACCATCAGTAGGTAGTTCTATGGGACATAAAAACGAACCAAAAACATCATAGGTCCAGCATGAGAGACTGTAATACGAGCGCAGGAGACTCCTACCTAACCTCGGTCAGGTGGGTGACTTCAGGGGAAGTCGTGGCCTAATGGTTAGAGAATCGGACTCGTAACCCAAGGTTGTGGGTTCGAGTCTCGTACCGGCAGGGATTGTAGGTGGGGAGAGTAAATGTACAGCGCTCTCGCCCACCTTCAATACCACGACTGAGGTGCCCTTGAGCAAGGCACCGAACCCCCAACTGCTCCCCGGGCGCCGCAGCATAAATGGCTGCCCACTGCTCCGGGTGTGTGTTCACGGTGTGTGTGTGTGTTCACTGCTGTGTGTGTGTGCACTTTGGATGGGATAAATGCAGAGCACTAATTCCGAGTATGGGTCACCATACTTGGCCACATGTCACGTCACTTTAGGGGAATTAAGGGGAGGAAGATGAGAGCAGATGTTAATACTCTCGGATGGAGGTGAGAAGATGGCTCAGGTTTTACTCAAGGATGGAAGACACGGATCCACACACTTCTTAAACGCCTTACTAGTGCGTTTAGAAGAAGAAAAATCATTCACGCTTCAAACAAAACAGTCCTGAAGATGAAGAAGAGGATGACGTGTTCTGCCGGTGCTCTTTTATACTGTGATCGCGCCGGGTAATGACGTCATAGGCTGTTGCCAGCCAATGTTATTGTCGTGTTTAGATGCATGCTTCAGACACCGGTCACACTGAAGACGTTCCCCAAAGCGACCTCTAGAGGACGCAGTTTGAAGTTCCCTCGAAAGGGAACAATAAATGCTTGCATTGATGGATGCTTATGTGAGTGGGTTAAGACATACCTGCAACTCTAGTTTAACGACAGTTTTAAGACATTTTTATCAGTTATAAGTTTTGGAGAAAGATCACACTGGAGGCTACGTATTTGGCTGTACACAAACTAAACTTTGGTGTAAAAACTGAAGTAAACATTGTACTTAAGTTTGTGTGTGTAGTAAATTCACTATGGCTGATACAACAGGTCTATTCCTTTTGATTGAGCGCCCACCTGCATTTCCCTACCCCCAAATGCCTGCTGTTGACCTCACACACACATATACATCTGATGGACTCTCCAGGGCCCGGGACCCCCCTCTGCCTGTCAGACCCTTCCCCCATGGGGAAGAGGAGGGGGTTCTTCACTGGAACTCTTGTACTCCCTTCCACAGCAGCCATCTGCAAGCAATCTGTCTGCTTTACCCATCTCCTCAGTTCCTCAGACTCTCACTGATTGATAGCCCCAAAAGGAGTCTTATGGCCCAAACTGCGGACACCAAATGTCCCTGTTCCCAATGCCATCATGATCCAATTACACGGCACATCAGTCTGTTATGTTTCACTGTACAGGACATGGCGTGAACTAAATATTCTTGTCTTTGTGCCGCATGTAGGGTTTATGTTATGAAAATTACCTTTTTTAAACCGTAAAGCAGCAATTTGCATAAATCTCTAATGATTTGTGGTCTAATGTCAGACGTCCCAACCTCAAAGGCAGAATGGATAAGTGAGAGAATTCAAGACGGAGGTAGCAGTAGAGAAAAAAAGTACACATCAGCCGCAGGGGAAGGATCTGTTTCCCACATGAGTTTGCAAAGAGAACAAACATGGCCTCTCATCCTCACATCCACATTAGGATGCTCACATACGTACTGCATATTTTAAATAAAGTCAGTGCATTATTGGAGCTGACATCGAACATATCATCTTGAATGCGTTTGGTGCATCTGGAGATGTTCTTCTCGCAGACAAAGCCCACACATCCGCAATGCCAAAACAACATGTTGTTTGCCCTATATCTCTCTTCCTATTTTTTGTGTGTGTGTGAGAGTTTGCACACAAGATCTAGGGTGCATGTATGTGCACATATGTGAACGTGTGCATGCATGAGTGCAGATAATCTCAAGAATGCTGCCGTCTTGTCACGCTATTGCTGTGTTTTGCCGCATCTGTAGGCCAGCTAAGCTTAGCGGAGACACCTTGCCACTCACCTATCTCACCACACTGTCTGTTTTCCAGTAGGTCGTCTGGTCTGAAGACGGAAAGTTCCAGAAGATGAGGCAGTAGCACAAAGCACAGTGGGAAGGCATCTGTTCACTGCTGGAAGAGTACAACGAAGGTTTCTGAGAAATTATTAAGAGGTTCCTTAAAAAAAAAAAAAGATGAAAACGATATCATGGAGCCAAAATATTTGCACTTTCTCCTCCCATTTTTAGACATTTTATTATGTCCTTTGTGTTTGTGTAAACGTCTTATTAATATGACTATACTATGTCCTATGATATGAGAACACAGACTGTAAGTGTGAATGATTACTTGCTTCCTTCCACATTTTTAGCACATCCACGCTAAATCCAGACAGTATTATAGTTGTGTTTGAATGAGACATTTTTGAATGTCATTTAAAAAAAAAACATGCATTCTGTTTTGAAATTAGCTTGTCTTTAAATGCCTCTTCTTCGGTTTGCTTTTGTTTTTGATAATGTCCACTCAACCAGTATGTTTGCTCATTTGTTCACCTTGGCAACGGATCTAATGGAGCATTGATAGTGAAAAAGAAATGGAGCGAAATCGTTTCTGTCAACAGACATTAGCTACGGTCTCTCAGACCTGCACCTAAGGACACTAGTAATGCACACATAACCATCGCCTGAGAATTAGCAGTAAGTTCCACGTGGTTTGTTCAGAAGTCAGAGGTCAAAAACACTATCACGCAAAATTAGTATGGTAAATGTCACGAAACACTTAGCTTTACTATCTTCAAGTGGATTATTCAGTAAGTACATGGCGTGTCTCACATAGTGTTCTGTTGTTGCTGTTGTTTTTTCGTAATGCCTTTATCAAATCTTGAACCTTAAAATGACAAATAGTGCAGTAACAATTAGTGTTGTAAGTGCTGTAGACTGATGTGTGCACAGAACTAATCTAATTTAGAAGTGCTTTTCATAAGAAATACTTCTTTCCATACATCAATTCTTCCCGAGCAGGGTATTTGCATACACTTTTTGGACATGTACTATGGTATTCTTTGAGGTACCTGGGAGTGACATGTAAATAGCATGGTAATCATTCAGTGCCACTGTATTTTACCATGGTATTACCACAATGATGTTGTTGTTTTTTTTGTAGGATTCCATTTTCTTCTCTGGGTAGAAAAGGATTGTGTATATCAGAAGGTTTGTGTAGGTCTTACAATAATTCAGTGTAAAAAAAATATATATTTTTTTCTCTGAGCTTATGTCCTGTCTGGTGTGATTTATTGTTAAGCATCTGTGTTAGCTGGAGTGTGTTCAATAGCAATGATTTGTTTCTCAGCAAAGGTAATCAACTATAGTTATGTTGCAGGAATGACTATGAGAAAAGGGTAATTGATTTACATTTATTGATTGTTTTAACATTGTAATTAAAGTTAACTTCTGTGTCATCATTGACTGGGCTTTGATAATGGTACTTTCTTGTTGATTCCAAAAGTGGAACTTCCAAACTCTTGCAAGAAAACAAGAAAATTGTAGATATAAATAAATTTACCCCTTATTTTGATGACTATACATTTCCACTTTAGGAAATATTTGTTTTGTGGCTCTTTACGTTTGGTCCCCCCCCCCCTTCATGTATGTATATGTGCGAGTGTTTTATCTTTCTGCGTGTGTGTTTTTGCTTTTCGACATGTACTTGGAAGCCATTACTTTGGCTTAAAAATTGAATTAGTCAAGTTGTAAATATTTATCATATGTGCTTTTTTGTTTTGTTTTGTTTGTTTTTTCTTCAATTCACTCTTAAGACTTCAATTAGATTAGATCGTAGATTAAATTGTTAGTAGGCAGTACAAATCATAGAAAAATGTATATATTTTTCTTTTTTTTCTGTTCATCCCAATGTAAAAATGAGAGTCAGTGACAATACACAAAAGAAAAAAAATCTGTCTACTTGTTTTTCTAACATTTTCTGATTATCTGCATCATCATAATGTAGAAATGGCAGCGAGTGACAATACACACATGCAAAATCTAACTGTCTGCTTGTTTTTTTTTCTGATGATGTACATATTTTGCTCATTGTAATTCAAATTATATATTTTCATTTTAAGAAAAAAAAACACTTAAGCGTACTTCTAAAAAGAGTTCTCCATATGGAGATAATATACTTTAAAATAATACACTTAAGTGTGAACTAACTGTAATGTTTTGGACACTTAATTGCATTTGCAATTAAATGAAAATGCATTATGGTGTTACAAAAAATATTACATTAGTATTTTCTAATTAAGCACGACAAGTATTTGTATACTTTAATGTAAACATTTTCATTTGATATTACAAAGTGCAATTTTAAAATGGTCATAAAAGTGTGCTCGCAAGTACTTTTTATTATATATAAGTGCACATTCAATACAAGTAAGCACATATTTTTCAAAAGTGTTGGATAACGTCAGAACACATAGCTTTGTGTGATATTTGTCACATTATTATACAAGTTATCTGAGGTCATAAGAAAATTGGAAGAGTGGCAAACATCTGAAGCTTGTAATGCCTTGTGAAAATTAAACCTGTTGAGTTGTTTGCTTTAAAATTCGTTTAATATGCAACATTTCATGAAAGACTCGTATGATAAGAAAGTCATGAGGTATTAACCTAATATTTCAGTTTTAAGTGCATTTAATATTTGTATGCTGGCCTGAGGATTAATACTTCACATTCAGTAATGGTTCAGAAATTGGGTATGTCAATAGTAGTCTTGGGACGACTGTGTTTTCGAATTCAACTTCAGAGAAGTAAACACACCCTTGTTCACAGCTGCCGCCCATTTTCTCTTTCACGCCCACCTGAAGTACTTCCAGACCTCAGCTGAGGCCTCATCACATTTTAAATGTTTCAAATTGTTCAAGCTGTAATCATGGCCAATCAAACGAGGGAACCAATCTGGAGGTAGGCACAGATTACTGTTAATATCACAGATAGACAGAAGGTGCCTCAACAGAAAGGTATTTAAGTCTTGAAAATTGGCCTAAATCATCACCGTTCCAGCATGGCCTATTCGGCAGCAGTAAAGAAAAGGCCACATGTACAGAATGTACGGAATGGCAGTGAAAGCAAGAGACTTCTATAAAAGAGGCAACTCCCTGTTCCCAGGTGCACAACTGATCAGATGTCTAGTGATACATATCGAACAAGGACTGATCCATAGAGGATGTGAGATCATTGTTGAAATGCAGTAGAGCATTGAGGTACCAACGTTTTATCTTCCCATTGAAGCAGGAGCACAGAGATAAGTTCTTGAAGACGAGGACGGTGTCAGAGGTTGGGTCAAGGATTTTGGGGATATGGGGGGGAGGGGGATGAAATAAGGGTTGTAAAGCAGCTGGGATGCATATGTCTAACACTGACACATGTGGCATTTGACTTTCAGTGTGAAGTTCAAAAGAATTTCATAATGACGCAGCTGCTTAGGGATGTGTACATGAAAGAGCGTGTGTGCGGGTGATTTGCGGAGGAGGATAATAGATTTCCATTGTTCTTAAAGACCTATTGACTCAAAAGATGTCAGAATGTCATGTTGAGTGGTTCCATGCTGTGCTAAGCAACTTCGGCCTTACTTTATTCATTAAACTATAGTAAATGAAGTCTTAAGTGATTAAGTACATGCTTATGTAATGATGGAAAACAGTACAGAAATGTTTGCTGTACGTAGTATTTTAAGTAAGTAGTAGTGTTTAATTACTTATTACTAATTACTTTCTAAGTTAATGATACAAGGATAGACATGAAACCGTTCTTTTAATTCTTTCAAGTAACTATACATTATTACACTTTAGATTAGGGTCCAATTCTCACTATTAACTAACTATTAACTATGACTTTTGCGTCCAAATACTCCTGATTACTGCTTATTAATACTTAGTAAAATAGTTGTTAAGTTTAAGAATTGGGTAAGATTAAAGATTTAGAATAAGGTCTTGCAGATAAGACATTAATATGTGCTTTTTAAGTAATAGTAAACAGCCAATATCCCAGTAATATTCATGCAAATACGCAACTAGTTAATAGTGAGAATTGGACACTAAAGTGTTACCAATATTATTATTAACTCACCAAAGTATTTAAAGTGAGAAGGGTACATAAAAAGCATGCATTTTAAGGTTAGACTACATTTTGATGTTAAATCCACTATTGTATTGTGTATAAATGCTCTACAGTCTATACACAGTATTAAGTTCAATTACATAAGAAGTAACTGTAATTAAATTACTGAAAAAATAAGAGTAATCCCTTACTTTAATTTTTCAAGTGAAAAGTAATAAATTACAGTAACTAATTACTTAGTAATGTGGTTTGTGTTTGTTTGTTTTTGTTTTTTCAATGAATAAATCTGCATTTTCATCAAAGTGGCCACACACCATAGGATGTTGAATTGGAATGACACCAATAAAAATATAATAATAAAATTAAATAAATAAATAAAAATTTATAAAATAAAAATAATCTGATAATTGAATTAGTCCTGCACAAGTTTTGGCAAGACGTTCTTTCTTTCATAATAACCTGAAAGTCTTATATATGTACAGTATATGTACAATTCAGGAACTGAGATGACATTTTAAAAGCATTCTCAGTTCAATTCTGAATGTTTATTAATTAACAAGTAAGCAGCATCTGCAATTTTTATCACAACTAAATTAATTTCAGCAGTCTACTATATGAGCAACAGAAAATAATTCTTAAAAAAAAGACTCCTTTTGAGGGGAAACAAGAAAACAGATTTGATTAAAAGAAATGGGCCATTTCATGCATTTTATGCATTATTTTGTCAGATTCAGTCCAAATGTTGCGGTTTACTAGTTTCAGCCCTTGTGTGAAATTAGGATCTTGCATAAGCAGTTCTGCACATGTGCAAAACTCTGCAAGCCATTATAAAGCACGTTAGAGCTCATGAAGGGCAGTCATTTAGACAATAATGCCCTTAATAGTTAAAGCAAAATAGCATGTGAAATTGGAAAGGGGCTTGTTAGGTCTTGCAGTGTGAGCCATTTGTGTCTAACACACTGCTGTCTGTCTGGAGCAGCACCTGCCAAACAGGCTGTGCTCTTCAGGGCCAGGGGTCACCTGTCAGGAGGCCTAGCAGTGAGGTCAAAGGTCATATCTCAGACAGGCATGTGTGATTGACAACATAGCAGAATAAAATACTATTAGTGCACAGTATATTAAAAGTAACTGTTAAAAGTATGTAAAACATGTTTATGCCTCATTACTGGAATTTCCATTTATGTTGCAAATAAAATATTTTTATCTTTTTTATAAATAATCAAAACAAACATTGTAATTCTTTAGTCCAGTCAAATAATGTGTCACAAGAAAATTCATTCATCACAATGAAAATAAAAGGTCAAGTTGAATATAATTTTAAACAAACCTGTAAACTAAGTATTACATTTAGGCATTTAACTAATCTTACAGCTTTTGTTCTACAGACGTAAAAGCCAAAATTATGGAGCTTTTCTATGCAAGAGTCAGAGTCATAGCCCTGTGAGAAGCTTGTCTTCTCCCACATAGCAACACATCACTCACAACTCGTTTTTGTATACGCTTTGTACAGGAAAGAAGTTCTCAAATTGTCTTCCAAAAACATGTACACTACCGGTCAAAAGTTTGGAATAATTGAGATGTTCTTAATGTTTATAAGAAGTGTCTTATGCTCACCAAGCCTGCTTTATTTGTTGAAATACTGTAAAAAAAAAAATTTATATATATATATATATATATATATATATATATATATATATATATACAAATATAGATGAAAACAGTTGTGCTGCTTAATCTTTTTGTGGAAACTGTGATACAATACCATTCAAAAATTTGGAGTATGTAATATTTCTGTAATAAATGCTATTCATTGAACTTCCTATTCATCAAAGCATCCTGAAAAAAGGGGTTCAACAAATGTATTAAGCACCAAAAACTGTTTTCAACATTTACAATAATAAATATCATTATCAGTAACAGAGCACCAGTAATCATTGATAATAATTACCCATTAAATCAGCATATTAGAATAATTTCTGAAGGATCACGTGACACTGATGACTGGAGTAATGATGCTGAAAATTCAGCTTTGCATTATAGGAATAAATATATATTTTTAATATATTAAAACAGTTATTGTAATACTATTTCACAATATGACTGTTTTTACTGTATTTTTGATCTTACGCGTTTGGTAGTAGGTCATTAGTGTATTCCATGCATTCAGAATTGTGCATACTCTGGGCAGTAAACATACTTTAAACACTAGAAATAGTTCAAGCTGTATGCTATTCTGAACAGACTCAAACTCTCTCTGTAGATGTCTTAAATATAATGTGGGTAAGAAATTATCTGACTTTGATGGAGAGCTAATTTCGTACATTTAAACTCATTTGGGACTTCATACTCCGTTGGAATCAGCTTCAGAGCATCTGTATTGTGTTATATTTTGGATTGAAAGAGACTCCTACCTCCCCATTTATTGCTATGGATGAACAATTTCACCAGCGCTGCCAGCTTGGAAAGTAAAGAAAAAGTTTCCTGCTTATGAATTGTAGTTATTTCTGTTGTAAAAAATATATTGGGTACATGGTCAGGCATTTTTGTTCACGTAATCCCCTTTCTTTGCAAATCATTAACCTTAGACCAGCCTCATTCTAGCTAGGAGTACTGCTACGAATTCTAGATTAAAGACATACATTTATAAATGGTCGGGGTTTAGTTCTTATGTTAAAGCTCATGAATAAGAAAAGCCAGTGAATATAATGTACATACGGTCTGTTCAAATTAAACAACAGCAACTTTACTGTACATCCATGCCAGTATTTATCGAAGGGTAAGTCATTCTGTGTGAACGTGGGCCCCCTGTTGGGGAACAATTGAAAAAACATGAGTCCAATTTTACTGTTGGCCTCTGACAGGAGAATAAAGTCACAGTAATGTTGCGCTAAAATACCCGCTTTCTTAAAAACCCTCGAAATGAAATCAGTGACGCAGTTTAATTTGAATATCATTTCAAGTGATCTAAACACAAGAGCAGCCAAATGACATTGTTTCTGCGCTAAAAGCACTGAGTCACTTTCTTGGGTGAGGAGGGCTGCAATGCGGCCTGGTTTACCTGGAACTCAGCAGGCCCGAGAGCACAAGGAGGGCACTTTAACTTAATAGTCATGCTGTTTATGCCCACTTGTGATGTGGTCTGTGTGCAGGAATGCCTCTTCACCTCTGTTCATTATCCCATTGTGTTTGGCCTCCCCTTTTTATTCCATTGGATTGGCTGCACATATGAAGTAGGCTACCCTAGGAATTCTTTGCATCCCAATTGACTTAATTTCCTCAGTGCAGATGAAGTGTACAGTAAATCATGTTCTGAAGTCTTAATGGGTAGGTAAATGTGGCTACAGTTGAAACAGCCCACATGTTCACTTCAAATCGGTTTGTTCTCTGTAGTAGTATGTTTCACTCTGTAGCTCCCTGAGAGGATTGCTTGTCTTAGTTTAAATTAGGGAATGATAAAAGTGGGATCTGTAAAAGTGTAGATTAAGATAAAATACTGATATAGGAATTTGAATGTTTAGAAATGCAAATTTGAAAACATGCCACTGTTCTTTTATTATACAAGGAGCCTCGAACTTATGTTATTACTTGTTATTGATATTTACTCAGTCTTTTTTAAAATGAGTTATTAAATTCATTAAATCTGAAATCGTTGTTTTAAATTGAATCTATTTCACTGTCAACAAGTACTGATGGTTACAGAAAATCTGTTGTTCCAAATCCATTTATTTTTCCCTGTGCGAACACAAAAGGAGTTTTTGTAGAATCTTCATGCAGCTCTTTTCCATATACAGTTCATACTAAACACACAATACCTTTGACCTTTTTGTGGTGCATTACTTTAAATTTACTAATAATCACCTTCAAATTGCTATGATCCAGTCAGTTGTTAACATACAAAAATGGCTATACATTGTTAAAAATAAAGGTTTCAAAAGGGTGCTTTTGCAGTGGTGCCATAGAAGAACCATTTGAACAGTTCCTAAAATAACCAAGTTTTGAACAACATTTTTAAAAAATATCAAGAAACTTTTTCAACTATAAAGAACCTTTTCTGCATTTGGAAGGTTCCATTGATGTTCAAGTTTCTTCATAGGACCATTGATGCCAATAAAGAATCTTTATTTTTAAGAGTTTAGAATTTATTTCTTTTTTGAATCACTTTAATATTAAGATTAATGTCACAGTTGCTTGCTATCCTTGTCTGTGCAAAGTTATAATCCAATAATTCAACTCATAACCATATTAAACTGGTAAATTCACAAATTTTCACTTATGATATGTGCAAAAATACCAAAAAGGGACAGAATATGGCAAAGTACTGTGTACATGGAGCAAACTCCACCCACGGGGAAATACATTGGTAATGCATAACTAGAACTTCATCTGTCTAGAACTGCAGCAAATTAAAAACTGAGAGATTAGTCAACATGAATTGACGCGGTTGACAGAACATTCCTTTTGCAGCATTTGATTTTGCACTTTAATGGTGCTAAAATTTGAAACACAGCAATGAATTGAAAACAGCGTTGAAACATTTGCATATATTGAAGCAAGCAAATGAAGCACAGCAGTTCAAACACTCACACATGAACTGAACTAAAGGTTGTGAATTGTTGCATGTTCCTGTGAAATATATTAGGCCTGGACTGACTCACTCATAGACACAGGATAATGCATATGCAATAATCATACAGCTCTCCTTACTGAGTGTGATGCAGTGGCTGCAGCAATGCTAAAAGGAACCATGTCAGTCCTTTGCACTAAGCAATATGAGCCAACCATTGACAATATCTTGCATTCACACACACATAATATAGTCCAAAGTCTGGCACTAATAAAATGCTTGTTATATTATCATCTACATCACTATATTTATGTATGTATTATTTACATGTATTATACCTGATGATCCATGATGATCCATGGATAAAACCTGATGATCCATGTTATACAGCACATAAGAATATTCAAATAAAACTATTTATTTATGTATTTATTTATTTAACTTTGTTTGATTGTTTGTTCGTTCATTCTTTCTCTTGTTTGTTTGTTTGTTTGTTTTTAATTAAATATGATTGATGTCACAAATTTGATTCGATTTACAAATGTCTTAGTTGTGTGTTTAAAAAAAAAGTAAACTTATTTTTAGTCAACTTTCCAGATTTAAATAGAAAAAAAAGGTTTTGAAAATGATCTATAGTAAGTAATAAAGTCATATATAAATTCCATTATTTTGTCTCTAATTCAATGACTGAATAAAATAAAATATAAAATAATAAAATAAAATAAAATAAAACAACATGTTAGACCCCAACTAACAGATTATGTCTCTCCGAACAAAACAATATCGCTGATTATAAGACCCTGCATGCATTGTAGCATGACAAAATATGTGGTTAGTGTAACAGAATTTTTTTAATTATTATTAGTAATATTCTTTTCTGTTTTCTGACTTTATTTATGCTGTAGTTGTTTTTGTCATGAAGGGTTCGTTTTTTATTGTTAGTTATTTATTTATGTTAATTCTTGAGGTTTGTGTGTTAAGTGGTGATATTAACATGTGGTGATGTTAACAATGCATTTGAATGTAATACTGATGAAACAATAAATCAAATGTATTCTATGGGAAAATATCCCTTATGCTGGCCTGGTAAAAGGCCCAGAGCTCATTGAGCAGCAAAGGCTCATCGCTGCAATTCCATCAGACCCAGCTCAAATTCACCAGGCCGGTGTGAGTTCAGCATGGCTCCCAGAGATGGTGGTGTGAGTCCTGGTAGGTGCAGGGGTGTGAGGGATGGCTCAGTGTAGGTGGAAGGGGGAGGAAAATGAGAAGTCGTGGGAATGGGTTGGGTGTGGGGGGTTTCAGAGGCAGTTCAGGATAGATGGATGCCATTCTGCAGAACGCCGGTCTTCGATGGTGCTAGTGAACAGTGAGGTGTAATTTCATAGATGAAGTCAAGACATTCACAAAAGGTGCCAGGGAACAGTGAGGACATTTTTGAGCCGCTGTCAGACACTTCTGAGCAGAGCTGTTGGCAACTCTTCCTGACTATTATATACCGGTAAGTGATATGCCATTCTGTTATTGAAGAGAACTGGCCAGTATTGTCACAGATACTTCACTGGAGTTTTGTTAGAATAAAAAACATCATCTATATCTTATAAAGTACAGTGATATTAGACATTTGAATAGTTTGAAACTGTACAGTGATTCTGATGGTCATGTTACATATCACATGATGGGCAGGGTCATTATCATTAACCAAAACTAAAACCACAAAAAAAGTTTAGTTTAGTTTAGTTTAGTTTAGTTTAGTTTAGTTTAGTTTAGTTTAGTTCACCTAGTTGTCAAAGCAACATTTCTCATTTTTGTTGGTTTAGTGTACTAAAGTAACCTAAAAAAAATAAAGTAACTAAAGTTACTGATAAATAAATAAATATTATATTATATTTAAATTATGGTTAAAGTGTTAATCATTTTGTTGTGTGTCCTTATTGTCATTATTTATTTATTTTGCCGATATACAACTTTAGAATTAATAACATTACAAATTCATAATTAACATTTTTTATTTATTTATTTAAAATGTTTAATTAATAATAGGCATCTCCCAATATTCATATCAGTCGTTAACAAATGGCCAATTCATAAAATATTACCCACAATTCTTGCATTAATAATTATCAATCATTACAAATTTAAATATAATCAAAAAATATAACATATGTAAACTATGCAAACTATACAAATATAAAAACAACTAAAATAACCAAAGATGGGCATGAATGAACGTGTTATTAAATAAAGCTTGTATAATATTTCAGCACACTAACCAACCACTTGAGCAACATAAAATCGGTTCAACAGTCTTCAAAGGCAATTCATTCAAATTTTATAAAGCAATTGAATAAATTCTTGAAAAAAAAATCTATGTAAAAATATGTTTTCCCTTCATTCAGGTGTTGAGATTCATTCAAGGCCAATGGCTTTAAAGGAGGTTAGTGCATTTCAGTAGATCCGTTATTTCATTCTTTCATCCTTCATCATACACTGTAAACAAAATGTTTGCATATTGTTGTGTATATACAATATAGCTATACAGTTTATATAAGTGGATATATAGTTTGAACACTGAGCATGCCTTATATGTGATTGCCCTGTTGAATCGATTAACTGCAACACATCCTTGCACTCAGAATCAGCTGACCGTCTCGTTGCTGACCTCCATCATGGCGGCGGTGCTCGGCTCGCTCCAGATAGGATACCACACAGGCAACATCAACGCCCCTGCCCGAGTGAGTAGAGTTGACTTTGGGGGTCAGGCGCTGGTTAGCGTGGTTTCTCAGTTTACATACAAACTTCTCAGGGTCCTCATAAAACACTGAATAAATTTGACCAAGTCAGAGAATATTTCTCTTCAGGCAGCGCTGGATTTGGAAGGCTTCATATTTGCACACAGGTAGCTATGATGTCTCGCTTGTGTTGATTTATCGTCTGTGTGTGGATATAGTCCAGTTCCCTCCGGCCGGTTTTTCATTATGAAAATATTGGGACTGGTCTCAAGATATTAGTCATGTCTTTCAAGCAAGTGAAATGCACTTTCAGAGTAAAGTATTAAAATTACAGGCTGCTCTGAGTTTCTGTCCACATTAGCATTACGTATGCTGTTTGCTTGTTGATGTACTATGTAGTGTCTGAAATTAAAGTATTGACTCATTTAATCATTACACAAATTAAGATGCAGTTAATATTTTTAAACCCAAATGGCCATATTTAATATTTATGCACAACAGTTTTTCTGAAACAAGTATGACTTTGGGAGTTTGCTATGTATATCTATTATCATGAAACTGCTTGTGTGAGCATGTAGCAAGGTGTAGTTTATGATTCATATTCTTTTGGTTTTCTTCAATGAGGTCATTGAGGAGTTTTTCAACATGACATGGAGATCCAGACACAATCAGTCAATACCAGACCACAGTCTCACATTCCTGTGGTCCCTCTCTGTTAGTATTAAGGACTTTGGAGCACTGCTTGGAGCACTGGGGGTCAAAGGTCTTGCTGACACCTTTGGGAGGTGAGAAAATATTTTTCATATCACAGATGCCCAGTCCATTTTCACAAAATGCAATTTATTTATTTATTTGTTTAGATTTTTTTTTGGGTTATTATTATTATTATTATTATTATTATTATTATTATTATTATTATTATTATTATTATTATTATTATTATTATTATTATTATTATTATTATTATTATTATTATTATTATTATTATTATTATTATTATTATTATTATTATTATTATTATTATTATTATTATTATTATTATTATTATTATTATTATTATTATTATTATTATTATTATTATTATTATTATTATTATTATTATTATTATTATTATTATTATTATTATTATTATTATTATTATTATTATTATTATTATTATTATTATTATTATTATTATTATTATTATTATTATTATTATTATTATTATTATTATTATTATTATTAACCACACTGTTATATCCCTGCAACATTTCTTTTCATTTAAAATAAAAACAATTATGAAAGAATAACCATATTAAATTAAAATAACCATGTTACATTAAAAATGAAGAGCGTATTAATAGTTTTGAAAGCAGCACTCCTTCCTAAAAGTGTCCCACCCAGTTATACAGTATGTGAGTGAAATATTTTGAAATAATTCGGTCTCATTTTATATTAGGTGGCCTTAACTACTATGTACTTATATTTAAATTAATAATTTGATACAATGCACTTATTTTGTACATACATGTTTTTACATTGTACTTATATTTAAAAAATACCTGCATGTAATTACATCTGTAATTAATTTCTGTAATTACATTTATAATTGCACTGTTGACCCATCTACACCTTAACCCACCATTAAACCTAACTCCAAACCTGTTCCTAACCTTACCCGTGTCCCACCTCAATAGCAGCAAAAGTGTACTTGTATTTATGTTTTGATGTAAGTACATAGTAGTTAAGGCCATTTAATATAAAGTCGAGCCAATAATTCTATCAATACATTTCCTTGCAGACGTAATGCTATTCTGATAGTGAATGCCTTATCCGTGGTGGGTGCCTCTCTGATGTTCATGAGCAAAGTCACAGCATCATTTGAAGTGCTTATTGTGGGTCGGCTGATCTTTGGCTTGTTCTGCGGCCTGGTGATGAGCCTGAACCCGCTGTACATCCAAGGTGTCTCGCCTACAAACCTCCGCGGTGCCTTTGCAACTCTGAACCAGGTCTCCTTTGCCTCAGGCATTCTGCTGGGCATGGTGAGACACACCTGCTCCCATTCCTTTTCCAACTTTGTCCAAAGTTCTGAAAATCGTAAATAACTGAGGCCTGGATCTGATCAGTGCAACCTGATGGTTTGTTGTGTGTATATCTCAGGTGGTGGGCTTGGAAACGGTATTGGGCACAGAGAAATACTGGTCCCTGATGTTGTCTCTGTCCCTTATTCCTGCAACGCTCCAGTATATGAGCCTTCCTTTTTGCCCTGAAAGCCCACGCTACCTCTTCATCAACAGGGGCAAAGAAAAAGAAGCAGAGGCGGGTGAGTTAATGACCATTATTTTGGGATAGAATGTTGACTTATGACTCACTTCGAACAGAAATAAACTTGTAAAACCTAGTGTGACAAGGAGTTCGATCCAGCATCTTTCTTTCCATTACAGCCCTGAGAAGACTTCGGGGAAATCCAGAGATGGTGATGAAAGAAATGGAGGAGATGAGAGAGGAAGCATCCCACAGTGAAACAGGAGTGACTGTGAGAGAATTCCTCAGAAAGCGACGCTACAGGCAGCCGATAATACTTGTACTTATCATAAACTTGGGCAGCCAGTTATCTGGATTCAATGCGGTTGGTGTTTCAACTGAAAAAAATATTTCCGTATTTTCATGAGTATGATGGTAGTGACAATTCAATAGATGGGGAAAGTGTTGCGGAAGTTACTTTTAAAAGTAATCCAATATTACGTTACTCCATAAAAAGTAACTAATTACGTTACTTAGTAACTCTTTATGAAAAGTAATGCATTACATTAATATGTTGTTACTTTTGTCACCTGGACTGTGCTTGCTTATTTGTTTATTTAATAAAAAACTCAGATATTTCATTGTAAATTTAAAAGTAATGAGTTACTAGTTCATTAAAAAAAGTAATCTGATTACATAACTCGCATTACTTGTAATGCATTAATCCTAATACTGCATTCAAGTCATTCAAGTCAAGTTATCTTTATTTCTAGTGCTTCGTAGAATACAGAAGCAGCTTTGTACTAATAAAGAGGAAAATAACAGAATCGATGATGAAAATTTTGTCAAATATGGGACAAATTAACATCCAATAGTGTCATTATTGCGCTAAAATCTGTTCAGTGTTCAGTTCAGTTAAATAAGCATAAAGTGCATCAGTTCTGAAACAATTTCAATTCAGCTATAGGCAGCTCTACAGAAGTCTATTGTTTTATTATTTAGCTCAAATGTTGATTCATTTCAATAACATTGCAAGATTGCGAAATTCATAAATTATTAAACAAATTCATCTTAGCTCTACAAAAGACAATAGTGGCATCATTCAGCTCTGTTCATTTTGTGTTGTTCTCACTTGATGGTGTCAAATCGTTAACAGTACTGAATATTAATTGTCATTTAAACCCTAACTAAGCAAACCAAAGGTGACAGTGGCAAGGAAGCCAAAATCCATCAGATGACACAAATAAAGAAAAAAACCTTGAGGGAAACCAGGCTCAGTCAGGAGGTCCTTTCTCCATTGGCCTAAATGAACAAACACTTGTATTTAACATAGTCATAATTAAATTTTGCCACCAAGACTTTTTACACCTTTTGAGTAATAGCACGAAAAAAAAAAAAAGATCTCAAGTTATAACTGGATGAATGTTCTTTCTCTGTAATGGTATGTGAATACAACACTGCCTGATTAATAGTCATGTTTTCTCACACCAATACAAATCCCCAAAGATAAATAGTGTAAAGATTGTCACATGGTTTGCAAGCACAGCAAAATTGCCCAGAATAACACTTTACCATGTCTTTTTTTTTTTTTTCAGATCATAAATTATTCTACAAAAATGTTTGCCCAGTCCAATTTTGATGAAGCCAAATATCTGACACTTGGGGTGGGGGCTGTTAATGTGGCATTCACCATAGTAGCAGTGAGTATTCCTTATATGATGTTCATGTTCAGTCTAGTCAGTGTTATATGGCATTATTTTAATTTGTTCAAATTATTTATTTATTTATTTTAACTGGCCTATATGGTGATTTACTCTATATGCCAGTAAAATAAATAAGAGGCAGATTAAGATTATCCACTTTAGAATAAAACCAATTTCTAGGTCTCTCATGTACATGAAAATAACTGTTTGGTTCTCTTTTTATTGAGGATAAGGTTACATTGTGTACTTTTTACAAGACTTTTGTAACTGAATTAAAAATAAATTAACCTTCTTGGATATTTTGTTTTTCTCTCTCTTCTCCACAGTTCTTTTTGGTGGAGAGAGCAGGACGCAGGAAACTGTTGATTGCTGGATTTCTGTCACTAGCGCTCTGCAACCTACTTATGACCATCACATATTCCATACTGGTGAGGCTGAAGATTCCTTTTCATACTCCAGAAATGAGGTCAAAATTCCTGTCTCTTCTCTACATCTCCTCTCCTTTCTTCTCTCTTTTCTCTTTTCAGGCCATAGTTCCAGACATCCGCAATATGCAGGTGTTGGTGATTTTCTTCCTGATCTCAGCTTATGAAGTGGGGCCTGGGCCAATCTCTTGGTTCATTGCTGCTGAGCTTTTTGACCAGTCAGCCCGTCCCATTGCTATGGCCTTCACTAGCATGCTTAACTGGGGAGGGAAGTTTTTACTAGCACTGCTCTTTCCACCTCTTCTGGTACGTGCATCTCTTGTTTTTAGCACATGAAGATCAACACAAGATCTATTTTGAGCATTAATATGGTATAATATAGTTAACTTTAATGCATCAAATTCTTGTTTGCAGAAAATGTGTGGGGCCTACGTCTACCTCCTCTTCATGTGTATGGCCTTGATTGCCTTCACCTACACCATGTTTCGTCTTCCTGAGACCAAGGGACGAACTTTTGATGACATTGCAGCTGAGTTTCGTGGGGCCGAGGGCATTCCATTACATAACAAGACCACATTTAACACATTTACCTGATCACTCTCAGCTTTAGGGTTAACAAGACCAACAGTGATCAACTCAAATGCAAATGATGTGTTTACACAACCAATTAAGTATATTAAGGACCCTGCATAGAATAGCTCATAAAAATGTTAACCTTTAACATTTATTTTGAAAAAGGACAACCTTGTAGACGATCTCAGAGAAAACATAACCTTTGCAAGTTTTTATCACACTGTGAAATCTCACAACTCTGTGTTTTGTATACTCTTGCCAGATATCTATGGTAGAAGCTGCAAGCCAAGTTTAAGAAACCATACTACCAAACAATTTGACTGACGACATTGAGAGGTATATTAACAGTGAAATTACTTTATAGTAATTTGTTAATAAAACATACTCGGTTACAAACGTAACCTCGGTTCCCTGAGTTACGGGAATGAGTACTGCATCTGCTAGATGCTATGGGTAAAAAGTCCTTTTTTCTCCTGAAATTAAGCCTTTTTCAATCACGCAGTGAAACTGCACGGCCATTCGAACGAACCAATGGCTCGGCAGCGGTGCTGCACAAACCTATAGAAGCGAATCCCACCAAAGCCCGCCAGAATGGGCGGAGTCATCTGGCTATATAAGCGCCCGCTTTGCCATAGGATTCAGGTTACTTCGACTGAAGCGACGGCTGAGTCATGCAGCTGCATGGCATGGCTAGCAATGCAGTACTCGTTCCCGTATCTCAGGGAACCAAGGTTACATTTGTAACTGAGTACGTTCCCTTTCGATACTACACTTGTACTGCATCTGCTAGACGCTATGGGAATAGTACAATCACGGCGTGCCATGGCAGAGGAACGACCAAGATAATTCTTGTCCTAAGCACCTCAGGGCCCAAGAAACAAGAACAATACCTCCTCCAGGCTAAACCGGCTAGCCTCATGAAGGCCTCACCCAGCCGAGTGATCGTTCCAACAGACTTGCGCAGCCTCAGCACCCAAGGGGGCCGAGAGCGTACAACCAAGCTCTCTGACAGGTCTGGGCATATTACATCCAAACTGCACTCAGAGCGAACTGCGCACCATCTAAGCAGAAAGAACCCTAGCCTGCAAGGCAGGGACATCCAGGTTATAGAACCTAGCAAAAGTGGACGGCGAGGCCCAGCCGGTCACCGCACAAATTTCTGCAATGGTCACGCCGCTAGACCACACCCACGAAGAGGCGATGCCTCTAGTTGAGTGGGCTTGTACTCCAGCTGGGCTTTGCAGGCCCAGGGAAGAGTAGGCTACGAAATAGCGCAGATTATCCACTTAGAAAGTTTCTGCTTCGTGACCGGGTGTCTTTTAGCACTGCCACCGACGCAAGCAAAGAATTGTTCTGACTGCCTAAATTGGGCGGAACGCTCGATGTAGACCTCCAGAGCCCTAACTGGGCAGAGTAAATTCAACTCCTGGTCCTCCTCCGAGGGAGGAAGCGCAGAGAGGTTGATAACCTGTCAAGAGTTAAGAGATGAACAGAGTCAAGAGCACTTTAGGTACATACCCATGCCTTGGTTTCAGGACGACCCTGGAGTCGAGGCAATTAGGGCTTATAGAAAGTGCCTGCAAGTCACCCACTCGTTTGACCGATGCTAACACTAGTAGCAGACTGCAGCGGCTCAAAGGGAGGGCCCTTCAAGGCCCTCAGAACAGTGGGCAGGTCCCATGTAGGGACAGTGAGAGGCCGAGGTGGATTTAGCTTTCTGGCTCCTCTCAGCAAACGAACAACAAGGTTGTTTGTCAAGGCGTGAGAAGCCGCTATAGCCGCCACACAGACCTTGAGCGTGGACGGGGAGTGACCCTTGTCCAACATCTCCTGCAGGAAGAACAGTATCACAGATATGTCGCAAGTGAGCGGATCTTCCCCACGGTTTGAGCACCAGGCAGAGAACACTGACCATTTAAGGGCGTAGAGACGTCTTGTTGTCAGATTTCAAGCCTGAGAAATGGTGTTCAGTACACACTCTGGGAGGCTTACAGGCTCCCGTCGAGTGGCCACAGGGGCAAGGCCCACAGCTCTGGCCTGGGGTGCCATATCGTCCTGTTCGCCTGGGAGAAGAGATCTCGCCTCAGGGGAATAAGCCATGGGGCTGCTATTAGCAGCTGTGACAGCTCTGCCAACCAATGCTAGTTGGATCCACTAGGAGCACTTTGCGTTTCTGTTCCCTGATCTGCCTGATCCCCTGTGGAATCAGGGCAACCGGGGGAAAAGTGTAGAGAGGGAGGTTAGGCCAATCATGGGCCAATGCATCCTTGTCCTTTGAAACATAGATTGGGCAGTGAGAATTGTCTTCTGAGGCGAAGAGGTCTACTTCCGCCCTGCCGAAGACTTCCCAGATTTGTTGAACTGTCTGTGGATGAAGCATCCACTCCTCTGAGGGGACCTTGCTTCGTGACAACATATCCGCTCCTCGGTTCAATAGGCCTGGCACGTGTGCTGCTCTCAGAGAACATAGGTTTAGCTTTGCCCATTCCAAGAGGTGCTCTACTAATACAAGGAGCCACTTCGAGGGTAGCCCCCCCTGGCGATTTACCTTACCTTGAGGTCTGGTAGGAAGGTTTGACAGGCCCGCCATACTGCCATCATTTCGAGGCAGTTGATGTGCAGACTGCTTTCCGCTATTGACCAGAGGTCGAACGTCAGTTTCCCTTCGCACAGAGCTCCCCAACCTGTGTTGGAAGCATCCATCGAGACCACCTTCCTGCTGTAGACCACTCCCAGGGGAACTCCCTGTTCCATCCATTGAATGTTCATCCAGGGGGGCAGGGACGTTATACAGGCCTGATCTACCCTGATAATTAGGCGTCCATGACGCCACTCGTAGGATGGAACTCGCGGTTTCAGCCAGTGTTGGAGGGGGAGTGCTCTGCTGTGACCTTCGCTTCCATCTGAGCCGAGTCGAACACTGTTCCCAGGAACGAGACTCGTTGGCTGGGAACCAGTGCGCTCTTGGCAAAATTTACCCTGAGCCCCAGACATTCCAAATGGTGGAGGAGAAGGTCTTTGTGAGATAGTGGCCAGGACATCAAGGTAGTTGAGAATGTGGATTCCCACCTGTCTCAGGGGGGAAAGAGCCGCATCCATGCACTTCGTAAAAGTGCGTGGAGCCAGGGACAGCCTGAAGGGAAGGACCGTGTACTGATAAGCCACTCCCTCGAAGGCGAATCTCAAGAATGGCCTTTGATGGGGGGCTATCTGGATATGAAAGTAGGCGTCTTTCAGATCCAGAGAAAAGAACCAGTCCCCTGGGCAGATTTGCGAGAGGATCTGTTTCAGTGTAATCATTCTGAATGGCCATCTCATGAGGGCGTAATACAGTCGTCTGAGATCGAGGATGGGCCATAGGCCGCCGTCCTTCTTTGGGACGATGAATTAACGGCTGTAGAAGCCTGACTCGCTCTGTGGAAACCGTGGCTCCTTTTTCCAGCAAATTCCTCACTTCAGCGCGCAAGACGTGTGCGTTCACACTCTGAACCGAAGTGGGGACCACTACGCTGAAGCGCGGGGGTCTTCGAGCGAATTGGCGTAAGTAACCTCACTTTATTATCTCCATAACCCATTCTGATACCGCGGGAATGGCGTGCCATGCCTCGGCCCGGGAGGACAGGGATTGGGTTGGTTCAAGTGCCCGGTCGCTGCAAGGTAACCTGGTACTCATGAGAAATGGAGGAGGAAATGTGCTCTCTCTTTGAAATTGTTTGTGTTTTATTTTTCCCACTATAACAGCGTATCACTGTTTGGGCTCGTGAAAGGGCCCAGAGTTTACAGCAAAAACATTGCCGGCTGCACCCGGAACTGAACGGGGTGACTGGCGGCTTATGAGAGGCAGCTTGGGGGGTGGTCCAGCTGCAGCGAGACTTGGCCGCCTCCTCTTCCTGCTCTTCTGCTCAGGTTGACGCAGCGGCTCCGGGTCCAACACTAGCTTAGGCCCTGACGTTTTGGAAACGGGTAGTGCTTGGCTGAGCAGGAACGTCTTCTAGGCTCAGGTTTGGCTGGCTGGGAGGCAGTGGCCGCTGCTGGTGCAGGCTTCGTGGGCTGCTGAGTCGGCCCAGACTTGGGGCGACTCGAGGCAGCTGCAGAGCTGGAGTGCTTGGATAGGAAGTGTCGCATGGCCTGGGACAACTTCTGTGCTTCAGTAAAGAGCTCAGCGAAGCCCTCGACAGCCGATCCGAATTGACCGTTCGGGGAGACCGGAGTGTCGAGGAACGGAACCTTGTCAGCGTCCTAAATCTCGGTCAGGGTCAGTCATAGGTGGCGCTCCAGTACAACCAGACTGGCCATGGAGCATCCAATCGGCTGAGCCGTGGTCTTTGTTGTGCGCAAAGCCAGGTCTGTCTCGCTTCTGAGCTCTCTGAGCGTCGCGGGGTCCGGGCCTGACTCGTCTGTGCTGGCAATGAGCTTAGCCTGGAAGACCTAGAGCACGGCCATTGAATGGAGCGTCAAGGCCGCTTTCCCAGCCAATGAGTAGGCACGACCAGTGAGGGCTGACATTGCCCTGCATGGCTTGGATGGATGGGCAGCCTTAGCCTTCCAGCCAATCACAGTGGGCGGGCAGAGATGCGCGGCCACTGCCCTGTCGAGCGGAGGCAACTTCTCATACCCCCTGCCTTCAGTGCCGTCCACCGAGGTGAGGACGGACCCTCACCTTCTTTCTCGTCGTGGACCTCCGGAAAGAAAGGAGAGAGGCTGTCATCCAACAGCTCTTCGTCACTTCCACCAAACGAGACCAGATCACTCACGCTGGCAGAAGGACGCTGGTCTGTCTCGGTGAAGAGGACGGGGGAAGCCTCTCTATGTGGAGAGAGCGAGGTACGCGGGACCTGAGCCGACGTAAGCTCACTCGCATCCAGGCGCTGAGAACCTCTGCCTGGTTCCTGGGAGGAATAAAGCGGGAGGGCGCGAGGGGCGTGGTCGCTTTCAGTAAAGAAAGCTATCCACGAGCGCAGAGAGGTCAAGACTCATGCTCTCGCAGTGGGAGCAATTTGTCTCGGTGAGCGTAGATTCCG